ACCAGAGAAACAAGAACAAACCAACCCCAAACCCAATAAAAAAAAAAGAAACAACAAAGATCAGAGCAGAACTAAATGAAATTGAAACAAAAAAAATTCAACAGATAATGAAACAAAAAGCTGGTTCTTCGAAAAGGTGAATGAAATCAATAGACCATTAGCAAGATTAACCAAGAAGAAAGAAGATCCAAATAAGCTCAATTAGAAATGAAACAGGAGATATTCCAGCTGATACTACTGAAATACAAAAGATCATTCAAAGCTAGTATGAACACCTTTAGATGCACAAAGTAGAAAACCTACAAAAGATGGATAAATTCCTGGAAATATACAACCCTCCTAGAGTAAACCCTCCTAGATTAAACTCCTAGAAGAAACAGAAACTCTGAACAGAACAATAGCAAGCAGGGAGATTGAAATAGTAATACAGGCCGGGTGTGGTGGCTCACACCTGTAATGCCAGTGCTTTGGCAGGCCAAGGCGGGCAGATCATTTGAGCTCAGGAGTTCAAGACCAGCCTGGCCAACACTAAAAAATACAAAAATTACCTGGGTGTGGTGGTAGGCACCTATAATCCCAGCTCTCAGGAGGCTGAGGTAGAAGAATTGCTTGAACCTGGGAGGCAGAGGGTGCAGTGAGCCAAAATTGCGCCACTGCACTCCAGCCTGGGGAACAGAGCAAGACACTGTTAAAAAAAAAAAAAAGGAACAGTAATACAAAAATTGCCAACAAAAGAAGTCCAGGACCAGACAGATTCACAGCTAAATTCTATCAAACATTCAAAGAAGAATTGGTACCAATCTTACTGACACTATTCTAAAAGATAGAGAAAGAGGGAATCCTCCTTTCAATCATTCTATGAAGCTAGTATTACCCTAATATCAAAACCAGGAAAGGATATAAGAGAAAAAGAAAACTACAGACCAATATCCCTGATGAACATAGATGCAAAAACCCTGAATAAAATACTAGCTAACTGAATCCAACAGCATATCATAAAGATAATCCACCATGATCAAGTGGGTTTCATATGAGGGATGCAGGGATGGTTTAACATATGCAAGTCAATAAACACAATACACCACATAAACAGAATTAAAAACAAAAATCACACGATCATCTCAATAGACACTGAAGAATAATTTGACAAAATCCAGCATCCTTTTATGATTAAAACCCTCTGCAAAATTGGCATGGAAACGACATACCTTAAGGTAATAAAAGCCATCTACAACAAACCCACCGCCAACATCATTCTGAATGGGGAAAAGTTGAAAGCATTCTCCCTGAGAACTGGAAGAAGACAAGGATGCCCACTCTCAGCACTTCTATTCAACATAGTACTGAAAGTCCTAGCCAGAGCAATCAGACAAGAGAAAGAAATAAAGGGCATACAAATCAGTAAAAAGGAAGTCAAACTATGTCTGTTGACTGATGACATGATCATATATCTAGAAAACTCTAAAGATTCATCCAAAAAGCTCCTAGAACTGATAAATGAATTCAGTAAAGTTTCAGGATACAAAATCAATGTACACAAATCAGCAGCATTGCTATACACCAACAGTGACCATGCTGAAAATCAAATAAAGACTCAACCTCTTTTACAATAGCTGTAAAAAAAAAAAAAAAAAAAAAAGACAGAAAGAAATCCTTAGGAATATACCTACCCAAGGAGGTGAAAGACCTCTACAAGGAAAACTACAAAACGCTGCTGAAAAAAATCACAGATGACACAAACAAATGGAAACACATCCCATGCTCATGGATGGGTAGAATCAATATTGTGAAAATGACCATACTCCCAAAATCAATCTTCAAATTCAATGAAATTCCCATAAAAATACCACCATAATTCGTCACTGAATTAGAAAAAAATCTTAGAATTCATATGGAACCAAAAAAAGACCCTGCATAGCTAAAGCAAGACTAAGCAAAAAGAACAAATCTGGAGGCATCAGATTACCAAATACCCTATATTATAAGGCCATAGTCACCAATACAGCATGATACTGGTATAAAAATAGGCACAGAAACCAATGGAACACAATAGAGAACCCAGAAATAAACCCAAATACTTACCGCCAACTGATCGTCAACAAAGCAAACAAAAACATAAAGTCTGAAAAGAACACCCTGTTCAACAAATGGTGGTAGAATAATTGGCAAGCCACATGGAGAAGAATGAAGTTGGATTCTTATCTCTCACCTTATACAAAAATCAACTCAAGATGGATCAAAGACTTAAATCTAAGACCTGAAACCATAAAGATTCTAGAAGATTTACATTGGAAAATCCCTTCTAGACATTGGCATAGGCAAAGACTTCATGACCGAGAACCCAAAAGCAAACGCAACAAAAACAAAGATAAATAGATGGGACCTAATTAAACTAAAGAGCTTCTACACAGCAAAATAAATAATCAGTAAACACATAACCCACAGAGTGGGAGAAAATCTTCACTAACTATGTATCTGACAAAGGATTAATATCCGAGATTGATAAGGAACTCAAACAAATCAGGAAGAAAAGAAGAAACAATCCCATCAAAAAGTGGGCTAATTGTCACATGAATGACAATTCTCAAAAGAAGGTATACAAATGGCTAACAAACATATGAAAAAATGCTGAACGTCACTAATGATCAGGGAAATGCAAATCAAAACCACAATGCCATACCACCTTACTCCTGCAAGAATGGCCATAATCAAAAAATCAAAAAAATAATAGATGTTAGTATGGGTGTGGTGAAAAGGGAACACTTTTACCCTGCTGGTGGGAATGTAAACTAGTATAACCACTATGGAAAACAATGTGGAGATTCCTTAAAGAACTCAAAGTAGATCTACCATTTGATCCAGCAATCTTACTACTAGGTATTTACCGAGAGGAAAAGAAATCATTACATGAAAAAGATACTTTCACACACATGTTTATAGCAGCACAATTTGCAATTGCAAAAATACGGAACCAGCTCAAATGCCTATCAATCAATGAGTGGATAAAGAAAATGTGGCATATATATATATGAATACTACACAGCCATAGAAAGAAACAAAGTAATGGCATTTGCAGCAACCTGGATGGAATTAAAGACCATTATTTTAAGTCAAGTAACTCAGGAATGGAAAACGAAACATCATTTGGTTATTGCTCCTACTTATGTTCTCACTCATAAGTAGGAGCTAAGCTATTAGGCTACGAAGGCATAAGAATGATGTTGGGGAACTCAGGGGAAAGGGTGGTGGGGGGTGAAGGATAAAAGACTACAAATTGGGTACAGTGTATACCGTTCAGGTGATGGGTGTATCAAAATCTCAGAAATCACCAATAAAGAACTTATTCATGTAACCAACCACCACCACCTGTTCTCCTGCCAAAAGAAGAAGGGAAAAAGCAGAGAATGCTTTGGTTGGCACTGGATGACCCAGAGCCTAAAGGAGAATACTTGGGAAGTACCAAGAACAACAATTTTCTTATTTACTGAATGTGATTCTGATGCAGATTCCAGCAGTACAAAGACAGCTGCAAAATGTAAGTTTAGGTTGCCTTTAAATAGAAGGCATGACCAGTTGTCATATACTTAGGGAAGCAAAAGGCAGCAGCCTCTCAGAAGGAAAGACCCCATCACTGCATGACCCGCAGTCATGCAAACACAGCTCAGATAGTTAGAGGTGGGCTGATGCTAAGCACTTAGAAGCCCCTAGGCACCCTCTAGAGCAGATGAAAGAGTGCTAACCTCATTTATATTAGAATGAAGCCAGAGAAAACACCATCAATGCCTTTGCTATTTTGAGAGAATTTCTGGCTTCCTCTGCATTTAGTATTTGTAGTTCAGCTTTCTTTACTGGTTTACATCTGTATCCTAACTTGTATTAGAATAAGACCTCCCTCCTTAAAGCTGGAGTTTGAGGTGGGGTATATGTATGTCTTATAACCACCTCTGAATGGGGGAGACTGGGAGCCTTAAATTCTGTCCCTTACCAAACATAGGGAAAGAGGAACATAGAACAGTAGATGCTGGCAGAGAAAGAAGTTAAAGGACTAACTCCCTATATAATCCCAAATATAATGTGGCAAGGTGGGGGAATGAGGAGTTGGCCCAAGACTAAGAAATGACCCTGGGAGTTTAAGTGGCAACAGATCTTGGGGTGGTATATCTCAAGGAGATGAAATGGAAGTTCTCAGGCAGTGACCTTACCTCAATCACGTATGTTAGGTAGAGCAGGGAATAGAGTGGGGAAAAGATATGGGCCAACTGTCATGTAGGAAGTGATGGAAAGAGGCTGAATATTTGGAGGTGAGAGAAAAAACCTAAAATGGGAGATAAAAGAATGTCTCAAGTACTAATGAATAGGAAATATATATTCTGTAAAGAAATGGGTAATTTTGATGAGTGCTGTATAACCTTCCTAATGATTACAAGAAATAGACAAAAAGAAGAAAACATTACTGAGTTGAGAAAAAAATTAATGCTTGTTAAATCATCAATCATATTTGTCAATGTGAAAGTTACCTAAAAATAAATTATAGGTTACTGTTTGATAAATGATTATGATACCATTACCAGTGATAAATCACTGGAGTCACCTCCATAGCTCTCACTGAGGTTACTAGATTGTTGAACCCTTCATGATTTCCTGTATCTTTAACCAAGGATTCTTCTGAGTCAAAGAGACACAGGGTAACAGAAAATAGTGCGGGAAGAGGGTAGTACATGGCTAAAGGCATAGAGGTTTGTAAGTGACCACTGTTACATTGCACTTGTAATACATTATTATTATGCCACTGCTGAACTAAAGTGCACTCTAAGTGTGGTAACATACTTATGGGATTATTGAATCTACCCATCAAGTGCAAATTACTAAGAGGAAATATTAACAGAATCTTCACATATATTAATAATAGAAAACTACCATTCTAATCCCTATATCTGTTGAGTTACCATTTACACAAGTCATGGACAATATTAGTTGAAAAACAAAAAATTAATCTTCACCTGGCACTGTCTTTGGTACATTTTCAGTTCTTGCAAGAGCTTCTGATTTTCATCTTGTAATTTATTCCTGCTTAGTGCTATCTCACTTACAGCTGATTTTAGTTTTTCAATAATGAACTCATCTCTTTCACCGATTTCACAATTGGGATCTGGGTCACATATCAAACGAGGAATTTCAGAGCTGCTGTCTTCTAAGCACTGTTTTTTACCATTTAGTTGAGTTTGGTAACTTTGTGCCTGTTTCTGAAAAACATAAAAACTGTGTAACTCAAATGAAGAATGTCATATTTAAGCTTACATGAAGTTCAAGAATGATAGAAAATAATTAGTAGGAATATCTTTAAATATGTTACTAGATAATGAAAGTTGGGTCTTTGTAATTCAGTCTTGTATTTGTTTTAAAATTTCAATTTCAGATGGCATAAAGAGAAAATATATTTGTATAACCTCAGAGCAAAGATGTAGACTAGAGAAGGAGGTTAGTGGTAGTAAAGCCATATCAAGCAAGAAAAAAAATCTAGAAGGTGTAAAAAGAAAACTATGAATTCAATTATACAATGGTTGAAAAAAGTCTATAACCAAAAATAAATACAAACAAACAATTTGATTGTAGGGGAAAAGTTGTCAGTGCATGTAACAGAGTTAATAATTCCTAATGTACAAACACTTCTACACATCAATAAGAAAAGGCAAACAACACAAAAGAAAAATGGGCAAAGTTTATGAATAGGCAATTCACAGAAAGACCTGAGAAAGGCTAAAAAGTATATGAGGAGATGCTCCGTCTTATAAGTAGCCAAGAAAATACGAAGTAAAGCAAGCAATCTTAAACTCTCTGAGTGCCTTGCCTATAGGCATACAAAAACATATGGTATTTAATGACACAATAACAATGGATTTTTAAATAGCTCCATCCTTTGAGACATGTAGACTAAATTCACCATTAACAGATATTCTATGCACTTATGACCGTACCCACCTTTGGACCTACTCTGGTGATTTTTTTCTTAGTTGGCATTTCTATTTGTAAATAGATTACATGCTGAATGGTAAAGATACCAATATTTAACTTCTACTTTTGATTTAGAGAATAGTATTAGATAACTTACCTGAAACTGATTACACTTCTCAGATAATAATTTTTGTTGAGCATCTAAAGAAATCAGATGAGTCTGATATAGTATCTCTTGCTTGTCCCATTCTCTTGACTTCGCTCTAAATTCCTTTTAAAAAGTGGGGAGACAAACATATTGAAAAATATTATTCATTTTAAAGTACAACGAATAGGGCTTCTTTCATTTGTACATCTTCATTCTGAGAAAAAAAAAAAGTAAATCCATTCTTTACCTATTAGGGAAAACAAACAAAAAAAAAGGTGTCAAATAATTCATGTTGGATTTTTTTACCATCTCTAATTTTTGCTAGGAAAATACAGAATTTGTCACTTACTGTTAAAAATATAAAAAGTCTCTCTTATAACAAATACTTATTACTAATAAGGGAATTTCAAACAACCTTTTTTTTTTTTTTTTTTTTTGCAGTAGCCAGTACTTTCTATTTGTTGACACGAAATATTTTTTCCTTCATTCATTCAGTTGCCAAATTTGTTCTCTTGTTTTTTTTAGAGGGTGGGGCTTGGACTTATTTAGTGACTGTTAAGGACTGAATGTTTGTGTCCCCCGCAACAAATGCATACGTCAAGCCTAAAGCCCAATGTGACGGCATTATGAAGTGGGGCCTTTGGGAGGTAATTAAGTCATGAGAGTGAAGCTCTCATGAACGGGATGAGTGCCCTTGTAAGAAGAGCTATGAGAGATTTTGTTTCCTCTCTCTTTCTTTCTCCCTGCCATCTGAGGATACAAAGAGCAGACAGCTGTCTGTGAACCAGGAGAAGGGCCCTTACCAGAATCTGATTATGCTGGGTGATATGGTTTGGCTCTGTGTCTCCTCCATCCAAATCTCACATTGAACTGCGATCCCGAGTGTGTGTGTGTGTTAGCAGGGGCCTGGCGGGCATGGGGGTAGTTTCTTTTTCTTTTTTTTTTGTTTTGAGATGGAGTCTTGTTCTGTCGCCCATGCTGGAGTGCAGTGGCACGATCTCGGCTCACTGCAACCTCTACCTCCCAGGTTCAAGCGATTCTCCTGCCTCAGCCTCCTGAGTAGCTGGGATTACAGTCACATGCCACCACGCCCGGATAATTTTTTGTAATTTTTAGTAGAAACAGCATTTCACCATGTTGGTCAGGCTGGTCTCAAACTCCTGACCTCGTGATCCGCCTGCTTCAGCCTCCCAAAGTGCTGGGACTACAGGCGTGAGCCACTGTGCCTGGCCTGGTGGTTTCTAGTAGTTTAGTACCATCCCCCTAGTGCTGTCTCTTGACAGAGTTCTCATGAGATCTGGCTGTGTAAGTGTGTATCACTTCCTGCTTTTCTCTCTCCCTCTCTCTCCTCCTGGCCACATTAAGACATGCCTTGCTTCCCCTTTGCCTTCCACCATGATTATAAGTTTCCCAAGGCCTCCCCAACCATGCCTCCTGTACAGCCTGTGGAACTGTGAGTCAATTAAATCATTTTTCTTCATAAATTACCCAGTCTTAGGTAGTTCATTATAGCTGTGTGAGAATGGATTAATACGCAGGCACTCTGATTTTGGACTACCAACCTCCAGAACTGTGAAAAATAAATGTCTGTTGTTTAAGCCACCCAGTTTATGGTATTTAGTTATAGCAGCCTGAACTAAGACAGTGACTTTGCCCCTTGTGGCCATGGCCAGGCCTCATTTAGGCAGTACCAATTGGTATACCTGGGAAAGAAATGGTAGAAGTAGGTTGATAAAGCAGGATCAGTTCTTTAAGTTTTCGCTCAAGTCGTGCAATTATACAGCATGATTATCTGTTCACATCTTAATAACATAAGCAAAGGATATAGCTCTGGGGATGCCAAAGAAGACATTGCTGCTTCTCCATTTTGCCTAGGGCTGACTATTTATATCCTATCTTTCTGTCCAGTCTTTAAACAACTTGAGGGTAACGGCTGTTTATTACTTTTGTAACATTCACAGTGCCTGACAAAGTACCAGGTGCCATTTACACAACATGAATGTACAAACAAAAACATGGTACAGTATTAGCATTTCCTAGAAATTAAACCTTCTCAAAAATTTTTGTAAAGAAAACAACATGGTTGGATACAAACTCCATAGCTATTAAATCCATGACTATATATCATTGCATATAGAAACACGGCAAGATGTAGTGATGTTTTCAACCCTCAGTTCATTCATATTTATTGAGCAGTTAATGTCCACCAGGTTCTGTGGAAAGAAGAAAATCTGGAACTATTTCATAATTTTAAAAATTTTTTTGAAAGAAAAACATCAAGGAATATCTAATAAAGTAGAGAAATGTACACACAAACAAATAATTTTACAATTATGTCAGTATGTTAAGTACAACAATGCTGACACATAAAAGCCACGCAGATGATATTAAGATTATCTTGGCTATATCCCATAATATATCAAATCGGAAGAGTTCATTATAGTCAGAGTGGTTACTATTGTTTTGAAGATGGCTGAAATGACTGGATTGGCAATGCTGGAAAACAAATGCTAATTTAGAGAATGGAAGCTTTATTTTGTTAAAATGAGAAGAACATGGCATTTCATATTTTCTATACAGAAATAATTTTAAAGTACATTTAAGGAAATTTTAGTTTTTAAAATCCATAAGTACCTAAACAATCAGTGAAAGAAGGCTCTAAATTAGGAAGTTTTTACGGTAATGAAAGGTGGGTGACCTGATATTAAGTGATAGTATTAAGGTTGATGAAGTATGGAAAGACCCTCCATATATAACAATAGATCATGATAAACAGACTATATTTACTATGATAAATGGAGATAGTCCATTTAAAGTTATTGACTTCGATTCTGACATTCAACATACAAAAATTAGGTACATAAAAACAGGGTTTTTAGCAATAATGACAAATTTATAAAACTAGGCTCTAGTAGAAAATAGCTAACATTTCAAATTAGTGCAATCTAGATTTTAAAAATTTCTGTTTACTTTTAATTTAAAAGGGAATCTTTGGATTTAGAAGTCAAATTTTGTAAGGTTGACTTAAGCTGTTCATATGTTTTAGATAATACAAATATTTAGTATTTCTTACCCATTAACCTCAAATAATCTTGAAAGTAAATATTCCCCAGGATGTTTTAGAGGCAGAAGCATTAATCTCAACTTCTTATAAATACTACAACAGGTAGAAGTGAGGCCAAGAATAGCTAGAAATGTGTGTCACAAACATCAGCAGGTGCTTATGACAATCCTGGCTTCCTTATTGTCAGATGTACTGGTTTCACAACTAGCAAGTCAGTGCAATATATACAATAGTGTGGAACCACGCAGGGACCTAGAGAGCTTCATAAGGGTTTTTATAGAGACAGGAGTTGTCACAGTAGGCTTCAGAGGGTCTGTAGACTTGCCTGGACCTCCAACAGTAAGTTATTCATGGCTGGAAAAGTTTTTCTGGATCTTTAAGTTTGAGAGTGGATCAGGGTCATTAAAATTAGTTTCTCTTGATAGCTGTATTAGATGTTTTTAAAAGCCCTCTAATAAATATTGGAGATGGTCTTTAGTGATTACTGTATGTTGGAGACCTTTACCTGTAAACCAGTTTTAACTTTTTATTATGAAGATTTTCATACATAGAGAGTAAAACAAACCTCCATGTACCCTTCACCCATCAACTTAGTCCATCTTTACTTCTCCTATCTCTCTACCCTTTTTTGTTGGTATATTTTAAGGCAACTTCTAGACCTCATGTGTTTTCAGCCCTAAATGCTTCAGTGTGCATCTAAAGTTTTTTCACCATAACAACAACATTACACATAAGGTATTTTAAACCCCATTTACTGATGACAACATGGAATCTTGGTGAGGCAAACAACTTGCCTATAGGTCACAGGGCAAACACATGAGTCAGGTAAGGCCTGTTTTCAGTTATCAGTGATCATGTTCTTCAACTACTACATGTGGTGCACTGCTATTACTATACTGCTATTAAATGCCTCAAAGGAAAAACAGGTTTACCTGCAGACTAAAACTGGACGAGCCTATCTCTTACACATTAATTTATCAGATGGCTATAAGTAAAAACAGGTACATGAAGTGTTTTTATAATTATTTCAAGTTAAACTGTATATCTGCATAGAGTCCTTAAAAACTTTTGTGTAAGTACAAACATAGCAAAACATTTTGCTACTAATTTCCACTGTAATTTCATTACATATATATAATGTAAATATTTAGTTTCCTAAATGTAAAATGTGCATACACAAGGTATCTGATAATAACTTAAGGGTTTTTTTTTTGTCTGAACAATTTTTATTAATGTAGTTCTGCCACAAAAGCCCATGAAAAGTCAGTCAAATGGATAATTAATGACTCAATGTCTTCATTTTCAGTGAAAGCACATGTATATTGCAGTGCACATCTATCAGCATCTTCCATGAGATCAGGATATTTCTGAAGCCCTACTGGTTATACCACTGTAAGAGCCTGGGAGTACAACACAGTGCATTTTCCTGGAGGGCCAACTTACTTAGTGATGGTAAGTTTGTTTTTTAAAAAAACTATGTATTATTCAGAAGCATTTAAAATGTGCTGGACTTTTAAAGATTAAAATCTAGGACTTCCTACAAAGTTCTTATAATAAGCCGATTTTAGGGCTGTGATCCCAGATTTAATGCTCTTTAAGATATTTTAAAGTAGAAGGACTTGTTAATTAAAGAATAAGATGAAAAAGTGCTGGCAAGGGGAGGGATGCTGGGGTTTAGGGCTTGAGAAAAATGGAAGAAATTAAGTGGGATAACGTAAGGGTCAACTTGAAGTCAATTAAAAAAATAGTAATTGAGCAGTACTCAGAATCCAGGTAAAAGTAGATGATAGGAATTTATAGTGTAATCTTTCTGCTGTTCCATGACTTGTAGGAGGAATGCTCAAGAACACAGGGAAGGAAAATAGCTGGTTTGTTTTTTCCAAGGTTGGGAAACGAAGAAGATAAGAGTAAGTGCATCAATGACATAGTGAATTTTTAAAGTTTTTTGTTTTTAATTTTTGTGGGTACATAGTAGATATATACAGTTATGAGGACATAGTGAATTTTTTTGAGAGACCAAAATTTTAGAAATTCTCAGTGCTATCAGGCAATTGAATTGGAGTGACACTATGCCTTTAAAGAAAAAAAAAACATGAAACTTCAAGCCCTGTTTTAAAAACTGTGATGAGGCTTCATTGGGATTTAAGTACCTAACAGCTAAATGGCCATTAAAAGATTTATTAGATATTCACTTTAACTGACCCCATGGGTGTCCTTCAATTTTACTCAACAGCTGCAGTTTCATTTGACTTTTTGGCTCCTTTTTTTTCTCTCCCAAAATGCTGTTATATAGTAAAGATGTATACATCAAAGTGATGTTTTAATTCACTAAGTGCCTGAAGGGAAGGTGCACTAAGAAAATATATTCAATGAGAAGTTAGTTTGTAATAGTGTTTATTACCACAACTGAAGACACCATTGTGGACACTACAGACAAATAGCCCACAACAACAGGACTCAATCTTTAATACACATAAAGAATCTAAGATAATATATCTCACCTCTAATTTCTGGTTCAAATTGCTCAGTTCAAAGGGTAATTCTTCTTTAAGGTGTGGTAATTCTTTTCGTGGAACTTTGTTTTGTTTCATCTGATGTAATCTCAGTTTTTCAAAGCTATTTGTTAGTTTGGAAAACTGTAAATCACAGAAAATGTTAACATTTTACTATTACCAATTATTTCTAACCTGATTTCGCTATCTCTTTTCCTGTGTACCTCTTTGAAAATTTAAGTCATGATTAGAAAGTGCAGTAAAGCTTAAATGTTTCAATTAGTGAAGACAGAACCAGTTATTAAAACTAAATTATTGAAGCTGAACACAATTCAGCTTTCATGTAAACTTGAGACTTCATTAACTGCACAGTTAAACAATGATTCACTTGATAAATGGCTTGTTCAATTTTGTTTTAATCATACGCAGTAAAGCTGACAATTTTTTAAAAAAACAAGTTTTTTCTTACTTTTAGTTAGTGCCATCTTGTGTTGACAATTTGAAATCCAGTAACTCAATCTACAAAATAGCTAGCTTATACCTTACTTAAGAAAACAGAATATATATTAATTTAAAAGGCATAGGTAACATAAACCACTTATTCATGTGGATACATTTAAATAAATTTTAATATCAAAATTGATCTAATATTTTTCTTACTGATAATTCTTTTTACAACTTTGTATTATTTTTTCCATTTCCTATTCTACATTCAAATTATAGATTCAAAATAGCATAGTTTATGAATATTTGTGAGGAAACTTCCATACTCATGTATCTGCTTTCAAATGCGTCTTATTGACACATTTTATTTTAAAATAATTACAGGTTTACAGGAAGTTCCAAAGTTATTACTGAGGTCCCGGATTCTCTTCACCCAGTTTCCCCCAATATTTACATCTTACTGAACTACAGTACATCAAACCCAGGAAACTGAAATTGGATCAATATATGTATATAGTTCTCTGCCATTTTATCACATATATAGATTTATCTGACTACAACCACAATCAAGATATAGAACTATTCTGTCACCACAAAGATCTCCCTCATGCTATCCCTTTAGAATCACACTTAATCCCCTCATCCCCCAACCCCTAATCACCGAAAACCACTAATTTGTTTTCCATCTCCATAATTTTGAGAATGTCATAAAAAGAAATCATACAGCACATTAACTTTTGAGATTGTATTTTTTTCACTCAGCTTAATGTGAGATCCATGCATAAATCAATAGTGGATTCCTTTTTAGTGCTGAATCGTATTCCATGGTATAAATGTATCAGTTTGTTTAACCATTCATATACTGAGACATTTTGATTTTTTCCAGTTTTTGCCTACTGTAAATAACACTATGAACAATGATGTCTACTTTATCAGATATTAAAGTAGCCACTTCTGCTTTTTTCCTCATAATTTTAAATTGAGATATAATTCACCTACTATAAAATTCACCTGAATAATATTCCATTGCATAAATACACTACATTTTGTTTATCCATTCATCAACTGATAGAAATGTGGGTTTTTTCCACTTTGAGATATTAGAAATAATGCTGCTGTGAACACTTACATAGAAGTTTTTGTGTAGATATATGTTTTACTTTCTCTTGGGTATATACCTAGGAGTGGAATTGTTGGATCTTATGGTAACTTTAACTTTTTGAAGAACAGCCAAATTGTCTTCCAAAATGGCTGTACCATTTTCCATTCCCATTCACAATGCATTGGGTTCCAATGTCTCCATATCCTCACCAACACTTGTTGTTTTCTATCCTTTTTATTATAACCATCCTAGTGGATGTGAATGGATATTGTGGTTTTGGTTTCCATATACCTAATGACTAATGATGTTAAGCATTTTTATGTGCTTATTGGCCATTCATATATCTGCTTTGGATAAATATCTATTCAAATATTTATCCATTTTAAAATTTGGTCATCTGTCTTTTATTATCAATTAGTAAGTTATTCATATATTCTAGATACCAGTCCCTTATCAAATATATGGTTTGCAAATATTTTCTCCCCATTGATGGGTGTCTTTTTAGTTTCTTGATGGTGTCCTTTGAAGCAAAAAAGTTTTAAAATTTTAATGACATCAAATTTATCTAACTTTTTGTTGCTTATGCTTTTGGTGCCATATCTAAGAAACCATAACCTTGCCTAATCCAAGGTTATGAAGATTTACTCCTATGTTTTCTTCTAAGAGCTTTTTAGATTTAGGTTTTACATTTGGATCTTTGATCCATTTTGAGTTAATTTTTGTCTATGGTTTAAGGTAGGGGTCCAACTTAGTTCCTTTGCATAAGGATATCCTCTTGTCATTGCACCATTTGTAGAAGAGACTAATCTTTCTGTATTGAATTATCTTGGCACCGCTTCTGCTTTCTTTCTATTAATATTTGCATGGTATATTTCTCCATCTTTTTAATTTCAACTTGCCTATACAGTTATATTTGAAGTGAGTTTGTCATTTTTTTAATTTATTGTCAATCTCTGTCTTTCAGTTGGTGTATTTGGACCATTTCTATTTAATGTAATTATTGATATGTCATGGCTTAAGCCTTTTTTGTTTCCTGTTTGTTCTCTAGCTTTTGGTTTCTCTATTTTCACTTTCTTGTCTTCTTGTGAATTACATAAGCATTATTTTAGAATCCATTTTATCTATAGTGTTTTTGAGTATATCTCTTTGTAGATCTTTTTTAGTGGTTGCTCTAGGCATTACACTGTATTTACATAATTAATCACAGTCTATTGGTGTTTGACATCTTTCCAGTTCAAGTGTAGAAATCTTACTTTCCTTTATGTTCTTTTACTCTGTTCCATTTATAACACCATTATCTTAGTGTTTCCTGTAGGTATACTGAAAACCATATTAGACACGGTTATAATTTTTTGCTATCAAAAAATTTAGAAAATACAAGAGGATAAGGAGAGTCTATTGCATTTCCCCTCATGTTTTTTACTCTTTTTGGTGTTTTTACTTCTTTGCTGATGTCTTAAGATTCCTTCTTTATCATTTCTTTTCTGTTACGAGACCTTCCTTTAGCCATTCTTTTAGGGTAGGTCTGCCAGCAACAAATGCTTTCAGTTTTCCTTCCTTTGAGAATGTTTTAATTTCCTCTTCATTCCTGAAGGGTATTTTTGCCAGACCTAGAATTCTGGGTTGAAAGCTCTGTTCTTTCGGCACTTGAAAGCCTCCATCATTTCCAGAGAGAAAGCCACCATTATCAGAATTGGTTTCCCCTATAGGTAAGGTTTCATTTCTTTCTTGCTGCTTCCAAGATTTTTTTCTTTGTCTTTTGGTTTTCAGAACTTTGACTATGATGTGTCTTAACACAGCTGTCTTTTGATTTATCCTGTTTGAAGTTCACTCAGCTTTTCAATCTGTAGGTTTACTTTTTTTTTTTGGGGGGAGGGGCTAAGTTTTATAACTTTTCAACCATTATTTCTCTGAATGCTTTTTCACCCTCCTCATCTTTCTCCTCTCCTTCTGGGTTCTCTGATGATGTAAATTTTAAATTGCTTGTTGCCATACTACATGTTCCCAAGGTTCATTTTCTTTTACTCTTTCTCTCTATTGTTCAGATTGGCTAGTTTCTATTGTATTATCTTTGAGCTGATTCTTTTCCTTCTGTCCTCTTCATTCTGCTTTTAAGTCCATCCATTGAGTTTTTAAATTTGGTTATTATACTTTTCAGTTATAAAATTTCTAATTGGTTATTTATATTATTTATTTGCCAAAGCTTTATAATTTTTCATTTATTTCAAGCCATATTTGTAATAATTCATTGAAGTATTTTTATAACAGCTGCTTTAAAATCAGATAATTCTAATGTGTGTCATCTTGGTCTCGGCATCTGTTGAGTGTCTTTGCTTATTCAAGTTGAGATCTTCTTGGTTCTTTCTATAATGAATGATTTTTATTGATACTTGGACATTTTTGTGTATTGTGTTTTGAGACTCTGGATTTTATTCAAATATTGTGTTGTAGCAGTCATCCTCTGACAATTTCTGGAAGGGAAAAATGGAGTGCCACTCCATTACTGCCAGGGGATAGTGGATGTCCAGGTCTTCACTTGGTTTCAGTTGGTATCCAGTGGGAGGTGCTCCTTATTACTGCTGATTCGAAGTGGGAGTTCAGGCTCCCCACTAGTCTTTCACTGATACACTTTGATTGAAGGGTCATGGGTGCCTTGTAACTATTCTCACATGGCCTTCAGTGATACTATAGTGGGGGTGGGTGAACTTGTCACCACCAAGCAGTGGTGACTCCTCAACAGCCTTCCTATAATAACACCTGAGACTAGAGAGGGAGGGGTGCCTCCTTACCACCAGGTAGGTGTAGAAGTCCAAGCTCTCCACTATCACCACGGGTTGATGAGGGCCTTCTTAATATCTAGTAAGGATGAAAGTCCTGGTTCTCCATTCAGTCTTCCCAGATACTACCCAGGAAAGAGGGCCAGGGTTACCTTGTTACAGCTTAGTGAAGGTAGAAATCTAAGTTTTTTCACTAAGCCTTTGTAGGTGGCAGTGGGGCTGTAGTTTTTTCTCTCTCTCCCTTCCTTCCTTCCTTCCTTCCTTCCTTCCTTCCTTCCTTCCTTTCTCTTTCTTTCTTTCTTTCTTTCTTTCTTTCTTTCTTTCTTTCTTTCTTTCTTTCTCTGTTTTATGAGGCTGGAGTAGAGAGGTTGTTATCTAAAAATGTATTATCTTGCTAGGCTGTCTCTCTTCTGGACTTTTGGATGGAGACAGCAGACTTTCCTTGGGGCTCTTTTTATTTGTTTGCACCCATTGGCATAACTGCGTTGCCTGCTTCTGTGTTACTCAGTCTGAGATATATGAGGCAAAAACAAATCCTAGGGAACTCACTATTGTGACATTCTTTGAGTCCTAAGGTCCTTAGCCAATCTCTCTCTTCTCTCCACTTCTCAGAATCTTATTTTATAAATGATGTCTAATTTAGTGGGAGGATAGGGAAGGGTATATCTATTCCAGAAGCAAAAGCCTCAAATATATGTATTTAAAATTACAGTTTTATAATGGTTAGAAGGAAAAAAATAACTCATTTTTAAAAGGAAAGCAATTTCTAAAAGGAAGCTTTGACAGAGTTGAGTTATTCAAGGCACAGTGTGGTAAAGTGTATCCTTAAGATGTTTCAGGAAAATGAAATTGTAAATAAAACAGAAATTTCAAAGGAGGAACCTGTAGAGTGAGCTGGCAGCAACAAAAGCGTGTTAGCCACAAGACACCATTTTCTGCTTAGAAAAACAGCATATTACCAGCTTTATGCAAACCAAATCAAGTACATAGTACTTTTCTTTTTCTCTCTTTTTCCCTACTTTCCTCTTCCTTCTCCTTTGCTCTCCTTCCCTTTCTTCCTCCTTTTCTTTTAACTAGAGAAAAAGAGAAGCAGAAAACTGCAGTGAAAACAGGTGGCTCTCAACAATAATGTAGCACTCCCAGTGTATTCCATGAAACCCTTGTTTACAGTAGTATTAGAAGGTTTTAGCTTAAATAAATAAATAAAGGAGAGCTCCATTGTCCAATATCTTTGGAACATGATGGAATGGAAAGGCTAAATCAGTTTGTTTAAGGCAGGACTTCTTATGGCCTGTAATATGCTAATGTGTACCCTTAATCTCCAGGAGGGGAGGAGTCTTAACTTGGCCAGCATTAGCTTAAACAGCATTTCCTAAACTCACGGTGTTTTCCACTGAACAAATTTTTATGAAGTTACCATAAAGATATTTTTTGGTTAGCACTGAAAACCAGCCATCAGCCAAATAATAAAATAGAACTGCAAAGCATCAAATGGCAAGGATTCATATATTAAATGACTGCTTGGCACCTGTAAACAAAGCCAAGAACTTTTTAACAAGAGGAAAACATACCCAAACAGAAATGAAAGATTTGGAAAGCAGTGACTGAACTGGTTAAATACAACTTAGAGATGACACCTAACTTATTTTTAGATTTCTGTATTGTTTTCAAACCTACTACAGATTGTGATCTCTTTATTTATATTGACCAATATGTAATGATTTAATGTTTATGTTGTTGTTTTAGAGCCTTATCTTCATAGAAAAATAAAGGTTGAGTTGACTTACATGCTAAATGCTCAGAGTCTAAGCTAGTAAAAACCATATATAATTTCATAACTCAAGCTACCATATAGTGGCAGTTACTTGAACTGTAGGCAAAATATCTAGGTAGACTAAGAACTAGTCTTGTAAAATCATCTGTTAAGTGGCATCGAATGTTTCATATTCCAATCTTAATGGCTTAATTACCTCCCTAAAAGGTATTTTAAAAGGATCATTAACTACTTTAAGCTCCTTTAACTAAATTATCATATGTGAAATATTTGTACTCTAAAAAAAGTTGGTTGTAAAGTAAAATTTCATAATCAAACCATATTTCCCATTGATTCATTCACTAAGTTAAGCAAAGATATAGCATCTACTACATTTGACATACTCAAATGATTACTACCCTATGTGCTATCTGTGATAAAGAAGGCATTTTGGTTGCCTTCTTTGTGTGAAGATACAGGGATAAGTGAAAAAGAAATCTGTATCCTCAATACATATGAAGAAGCACTATCATGTAAGAAACAGTGCTACCAGTAATAAGGTAATAAAGACCAGTTTTATTCTTTCAATTATCTATTTCATAATCGCAAACTTCCATATTTTAAATTATCACAGAATTGAGAACATCTTTATTAGATAGGAATAACCACGAAAGATAATTGTTTTTTTGTTGTTGCTCACAAAATTTTTTTGTGTGAGCTAATTGTCATTTAATTCATCAACAAGTCTCTTGAGAAACAGAAAGCCATTTGTCAAGTACTGTGCTAACAGAGGTACAGAAGGTATAGCAAGCCAACAATCTAGTAAGAGACAAAATCAATGCATATAAAACAGGGAAAGACATGACCAAGCTTAGAATTAAAACACAAGAACATTTATTTATACTAAAAACAATTAGTTTAAATAAAATTAACACAACTCTATAGGTCAAAAATATATCAAAATGTGTGATATTAAATTATAATAAGTTTTCTTACTTGAGCCTTTAGGCTTTGTAGTTGTCCTTCATAATTCTGAGTCATTGCTAAATTACATTTTTCCAGACTGTCCAATTTCTGTCGAAGCAACCCTACCTGCATGAAGAATAAAATTTAATTTTACTTTTTCTAAATTTTGCCTGACAAAATCAGAAAATGTGCAAAAGAGAAGAACAATTCAAATAAAATGGCTTTACCAAACCAAGAGTAAATATTTGTACTGCACTTCTTAAAATAGCTATCAATAATTAAATTCACAAAAACCAAACATTGCTAGCACTATTCCACAAGGTACACATTAGGACAGTACGGATGTTTAATAAAAGATCCTTATCATCATCACATTTAAAATTCAGGGTTAGAATTTACTTTGCATTATCCTTTTGGGAGGCTGTGTCATCATTACTCAGGCAAAACCTCTACCAATATAATTCAGCTTTTGTGTTTTCTCCATTACCTTCAAGAGGATCTCTGTTTTAGTGGTATTATAAAATAATTGTTACATTTTTGTAACAAGTAATATGTTAAAAAGAAAAAGAAAATTGTCTAAGAGCAGTTCCTAAGGATTTGGCTTATATAATTTGTCTGTTTAAAAGGCAGATGAGGCACTTGCTTACATATCTGTGTCAGTATATATATAAAAGCTAGAAGAAGAAGAATGCATATGCCATGTCTGATGACCTACCTCTACTGTGAAGGAAAACTAGATGCCATTAACTAAGTTACCTATGCCAAACAATAATATAGTTAACTATGCCAAAAAACTAGGTTTCACTGAGAGGTCAATAAAGGTAGAAAAATGGCTGATGAACAAGTTAACTAATGATGTTTTTGTTACAGTATATAACTAGCAAACATTTCTCTTAAACATTTCTTTTTCCAAAAGAAAAATTCACAGACACAAAGTCCACATTAGATAAAGCGTATGGTTTTCCTGAACTCCTTCACAGCCCTGAGAGCACTCATAAAAGCTTGGCAGTGAGCAGCCTAGAGGGACTGAGGAAACTCCTCTTAAGTGGATGTCCCAGGTATAAACACACACCCCTTTACCAAACTCTTTTCTCCTTTGTCCTATAACCAATTTTTGACATCTTACTTCTATTTTTTCCAGAATATTCAAAGAAGCAAATGTTACTGAACTCTGCCTTGTCCACAGTTTTGATGGCTACTTTGTTTCTACAGCAGCAAAAGTACTTACATCTTTACTTGCAAACAATATTTTACATATATGTTAAATATTTGCTTACTTTTACAGATGGCATTGACACTACATATCTGTCTCTATCAGCAAATATCTATGGATTTAGGTTCTGATTGTCACTTATTTGATATAATACATTTAGCCTATAATTTGCTGACAGAATTTCAAGCAATAAAGGCTCTTGCTGATGCCTAATAAAAAGTATGTATAATAAAAATATATTCTGATAGAATACTATGTATAACAATCTGATGAATTAGCAATTTGTTAACATATGTATTCAGTACCTCTTGACCTTTCTGATCCAAACAAGTTTGTGCATTTGCCAATTCTTGATCCCGAAGATCTAATCGTGTCTCCAAAGCCCGCATCTTTCTTTCCCAATCCATTTTTTTGTTGCTTACCATGATGTCAATTTGTTCCATTAATTCCTGAAGCTCAGCTTCACAAGGAGAAGTTCTGGCAATTGTAGGAAAGTAAAATAGGGCAAGAAAAATTATTACATTGCTCTGCATAGCTTGATCATTATTTCCTGAAATTGTTCAATTATTTAAATGGGAATAAGTTCAAAAGCTGAAGGTTAAATTTTAAAATTAATAAAGCAAATTTCAGAGCTAACAGTGTATATATACTTAATTTTTTAAAATAACATTTTTTAGAGTAGGCTAATTCTAAGGAATATGCTAATTAGGAAAAATTATAAGACTTAGCTTCAGGATCAGTGCTCTTCCATATAGGCATACATGTACCTATATCTATCATAACTTCAGAAGGTTTGACAGAGGCAGACTGGGATATCATTCGTGTCTGTTAAGGATAGAAGAGCAAGCCTGGGCTAGGTAGGACCAGATTCAAGGGTACCAACTGGGCTATAGTGTGGCTCCTCAAGGAGAGGAATTTGGCATGATATGGCTGGTGTCTAAGGAATTTGATCAGGCAGTGATATGGTTTGGCTGTTTACCCACCAAAATCTCAACTTGAATTGTATCTCCCAGAATTCCCATGTGTTATGGGAGGAACCCAGGGGAAGGTAATTGGATCATGGGGCCGGTCTTTCCTGTGCTATTCTCATGATAGTGACTAAGTCTCATGAGATCTGATGAATTTATCAGGGGTTTCTGCTTTTGCTTCTTCCTCATTTTCTCTTGCCTCCATCATGTAAGAAGTGCTTTTCGGCTCCCACCATGATTCTGAGGCCTCCCAAGCCACATGGAACTGAAAGTCCAATTAAACCTCTTTTTCTTCCCAGTCTCGGGTATGTCTTTATTAGCAGTGTGAAAACAGACTAATGCAGTAAATTGATGCCAGTAGAGTGGGGAGTTGCTGAAAAGATAACTGAAAATGTGGAAGCAACTTTGGAACTGGGTAACAGGCAGAGGTTGGAACAGTTCAGAGTGCTCAGAAGAAGACAGATAAATGTGGGAAATTTTGGAACCTCCTAGAGACTTGTTGAATGGTTTTGACAAAAATGCTGATAGTGATATGAACAATAAGGTCCAGACTGAGGTGGTCCCAGATGGAGATAAGGAGCTTTTTGGGAACTGGAGTAAAGGTGACTCTTGTTATGTTTTATCAAAGAGACTGGAGGCATTTTGCCTCTGACCTAGAGATTTGTGGAACTTTGAACTTGAGAGAAATGATTTAGGGTATCTGGCAGAAGAAATTTCTAAGCAGCAAAGCATTCAAGAGGTGACTTGGGTGCTGTTAAAGGCATTCAGTTTTAAAAGTGAAAGAGAGCATAAAAGTTCAGAAAATTTGCTGCCTGATGATGCAGTAGAAAAGAAAAACCCATTTTTTGAGGAGAAATTCAAATCAGCTGGAGAAATTTGCATAAGTAGCAAGGAGCCTGATGTTAATCTCCCAAACCATGGGGAAAATGTCCCCAGGACTTGTCAGAAACCTTCACAGCAGCACCCCCCCCATCACAGGCCCAGAGGCCCAGGAGGAAAAAGTGGTTTTATGCGCCAGGCCCAGGGCTCCTGTGCTGTGTGCAGCCTAGGGTCTTGGTGTCCTGTGTCCCAACTGCTCCAGCCATGGCTGAAAGGGGCCAATGTAGAGCTTGGGCTGTGGCTTCAGAGGGCAGAAGCCCCAAGCATTGGCAGCTTTCACATGGTGTTGAACCTTCAGGTGCACAGAAGTCAAGAATTGAGGTTTGGGAACCTCCGCCTAGATTTCAGAAGATATATGGAAATGCCTGGATGCCCAGGCAGAAGTTTGCTTCAGGGGTGGGGCCCTCATGGAGAACCTCTGCTAGGGCAGGGCAGAAGGGAAATGTGGGATGGGAGCACCCACACAGAGTCCCTACTGAGGCACTGCCTATTGGAGCTGTGAGAAGAGGGCCACTGTCTTCCAAACCCCAGAATGGTAGATCCAACGACAACTTGCACTGTGTACCTGGAAAAGCCACAGACACTCAATGCCAGTCTGTGAAAGCAGCCTCGTGGGAGGCTGTGCCCTACAAAGCCATGGGGGCAGAGCTCCCCAAGACCATGGGAACCCACCTTTTGTATCAGCATGACCTGGATGTGAGACCTGAAGTCAAAGGAGATCATTTTGGAGCTTTATGATTTGACTGCCCTGCTCGATTTCAAACATGCATGGGGCCTGTAACTCCTGTTTTGGCCAGTTTCTCCCGTTTGGAATGGCTGTATTTACCCAATACCTGTACCCCCATTATATCTATGAAGTAACTAGCTTCCTTTGATCTTACAGGCTCATAGGTAGAAGGGACTTGCCTTGTCTCAGATGAGACTTTGGACTGTGGATTTTTGGGTTAATGATGAAATGAGTTAAATCTTTGGGGGACTGTTGGGAACTTGATTGGTTTTGAAATGTGAGGATATGAGATTTGGAGGGGCCAGGGTTGGAATGATATGGTTTGGCTCTCAACTTGAATTGTATCTCCCAGAATTCCCATGTGTTGTGGAAGAGACCCAGGGGGAGGTAACTGAATCATGGGGGCCAGTCTTTCTCATGCCGTTCTCCTGACAGCAAATAAGTCTCACAAAACCTGATGGGTTTATCAGGGGTTTCTGCTTTTGCTTCTTCCTCATTTTCTCTTGCCTCCACCATGTAAGAAGTGCCTTCCACCTCTTGCCATGAATCTGAGGCCTCCCCAGCTATGTAGAACTGTAATTTCAATTAAATCTCTTTTTCTTCTCAGTCTCAGGTACATCTTTATCAGCAGCATGAAAACAAACTAAGGCAGGCAGGTTTGGAGAGATACTGTAAGTCTTTAGACAGTGAGGTTACTATTACTCATATACATAGTCATATCTGGGGTCTAGGAGGGTTTATTGAGTATCAAACAAAATGCTTAGTATAACAGCTAGGATTATAGCTACTGTTGTTGAGAAGACAGATTGGTAAGTGCTCTCACTACAGAGTTCTTTTTCAAAGAAGCTTAAGCATTCTCCAGGGAGCTGGCATGAGTCCAGTCACTCAGACTGGATTAGCAGATAGGTATTGAGGCCTTACACTTCAGCCTAAGGAACATACAAATGTCCAGATTAGAAAAGCGAGTTATTTCAGCATCCATTTCAATGGTGGTAATGAGGCTTCCAATGTATTTGTGTAGCTGGGAGGAAGACAGGAGGGACAGGCAGGTGCAACATGACAGCATTTCCTCCATTTAGTTTCACTAAATCAGAATTTTAGAGCTAATTAAGGATCATTTAGCATTTTGATAAAACTCAGGCTCAGAGAGGCCCAAGGTCACACAGCTAATTAATGGAAGAACCAGAACTAGATCCTAGGCAGCTGCTTCCCATTTAATGTATCTTCCTGTATACCACACAGCAAAAGACACAGTGTTTTGAATAAGAACATGCTGAAAAATACAGTACAAATTCGCTCCATTGCAATAAGGTTAGAAACAGGTATTAAAATCCAAAGAATTGAGAATTTCCAGAATCATTTTCTAAGATATCCAGAATCAACCCAAACAGAAGATGTTCCTTTGGTTTATTCAATATGATATTTACCAGTTTTGACATCAGAGAGGTTTTAAGTACAAAGTGCCATTCTGAAGTCTTCTCCTAGCATTCCTGGAGGAATGTGAGGCCCAGAGGCTTTCAATTTTTACTTAAAACCTAAAATAAATCTGACAAAAGGATGTATACTAATTCCTCTATAAATAACTTGATTAAATTTTAAGATTGAATTTTAATTGGAATTATAAAATAGGGGAAAAGAATAGAACTATGGCCTGGTGGTTTCACACCGTTTTTCTTTTTCATGACAACATGTACCACCCTGTACTGTAAATAGATTTTGTCTATTTTTTCCACTCTGAAGAAAAAGGACTATGTCAATGTAAGCTCTAGGAAAAAAGAACTATATCAGTCTGGTTCATCACCATCTCACCAGAGCCTAGTATATTACTGTAGCACACAGTAGATGCTCAATAAATCTCTGAAGAATGAATGATTTCCTTTAATTGCTAACTTTTGGCATGTAAGAATGTACCATGCTAAGAAAGTTAAAATATAGACCTACAGTAGAGTCTGGACATAATGTAATCTACTCAATCAATATTGTTGAGTGAATGGTTTATTTCCTGGTTATGGTTATGCTATGCAAAAGTTAGAATGTTAGACTCTCAGGATGGAAAAACTCTTACAAGTCAACTAGTCCAACTACCCCAACTACCCATCCAGTGTTTGCATTCCTCTACAAATATATATATATATTTATATATGTATATATTATATATTTATATATGTATATATAATATGCAAAATATATTATGTAAGAATATGTATTTTATATTAAAAATTATTAAATATGATTATATATAATTTTTTTTGAGATGCAGTCTCGCTCTGTTGCCCAGGCTCGAGTGCAATGGCACAATCTTGGCTCACTAGCACCTCTGCCTCCCAGGTTCAAATGATTCTGTGGCCTCAGCCTTCCAAGTAGCTGGGACTACATGCACGTGCCACCACAGCTGGGTGATTTTTTTTTTTGTATTTTTAGTAGCGACAGGGTTTCATCATGTTGGCCAGGCTGGTCTCAAACTTCTGACTTCAGGTGATCTGCCCGCTTTGGCCTCCGAAAGTGCTGGGGTTACAGGCGGAGCCACTGCACCTGGCCCCTCTACAAATATTTCTTAACTGAATCATCTATCATACACTACTGATCAGAATCAGCAGGTCTAGGACAGACCCTAAGATTCTGCATCAGTAACAAAAGCATCAAGTGATTCTGGTGAATTCCAAAGTTTGTGACCTGTTTTTCAATATCACTGCTAAGAAGTTATCCAGCCTAGGTCTGAATTCTTCCCTTAAGAGGTAACCACTGTCTGAGATTGTAGCTAGACAATGTGTTTTAGACAGATCTTTTTTATATTGAAGAAGTTTTCCATCCATTGGTCCTAATTTGATCTCAGTGATTCCACTGAGACCATTCAGGACAAATGCCTTTTCAACACAGTAGACTTTAAAGTACTTGAATACAGT